TCTTTCTTTCTCTCTCTCTCTCTCTCTCAATGTTTATTTGTCTTAGAAAGAGAGAGAGAGAGAGAGAGACAGAGGGGGAGGGGCAGAGAGAGAGGGAGACAGAAGATCTGAAACAGGCTCTACATTGAGAGCAGAGAGCCCCATGTGGGGCTCGAACCCACGAGCTGCAAGATCATGACCTGAGCTGATGTCAGCTGTTTAACTGAGTGAGCCGCCCAGATGCCCCAAATTGCCCTTCTTTCCTTTCCTCTCCTTCCCTCTCACCCTTCCCCCCACCCCCCACTTCTTCTTCATCACCATCACCCTCCCCTTTGTCTAAATTAAAAGTCATCTTCTGAGCACTTGTGTGTTCAGGGATTCTCCTGAGGCAGTAAGCATGGTCTGAGAGTCTCCAGGCCAAGACAGATGTACGGGGCTAGAGAGACATAGGGGACATACTCACAGTGAAGAGGTGTGGGATAAATGCGGTTGGTGGACAGGAAACAAATGGGGACGATCTGTATTTATGTTCCACACCAGCCAAGGGTTAGGTGGTACTCAGTTCAGAGAGTTTTATGTTCAATTTTATGTCTAGACAGAGTTTGGGATGAGGTTATCACTTTTCTTCTAATTAGTGCAGGAAGGCTTCCCCAGGCACCGCTTTCAGGAGCTCTCTGGCTGTCTTGGCTTTGCCATCTGTCCCCAAGAGCGAGGCATGGGTAGAGTAGCCGAGGGAATAGGCAGCAGATTGGGAGTCAGGGCACCTGGATCTTTGGCCTTGGGTCTGCCCCCAGCTTGGTGTATGACCTTGGATAAATTACCCTGCCCTTCTCCCCTTTCTCATTTCTAAAATGAGGGGTCTATCAGACCCCTACAGTGGGTGTATTCTGCAGCTGTTCAAACGGGGCTGCTGTGCACAGGTGGGCAGGTTGTGCATCGTGCAAGGACACTTGGCCAAGGGGTGGATGGGGGCTGAAATCTGCCCTAGGCTGTTCTCACCAGGCTATGCATGGGTGGGGCCTACGTCCACCTGGGGAAAGAGGCCCTTTTCCTAATTTGCACAGAGGTACCACCTGGGTCCTCGGTAGTGACCCTGCAAGGTCCCCACGCAGATTGGGCCCCTGTGGTTGGTCAGAGTTGGGGTGGTGGTGGTAAAGGGAATTTCTGTATCAGAAGGTGAGGTTGTGGGCTGGGGGGCTGGAGAGAGGAACAAAGAGAGGTTCCGTGGCCCATGAACTGCCCGCCAGGAAGGGGTGGGCAAGTGTCTGTAGGAAGCTAATCTTTAGACAGAAAGGGAGTTTGAGGGGCTGGGGGTGTAGGGAAGCAGGTCTCAGCCGGCAGCAGGTGACCACATGGGATGGGCTCCTTGGCGAAGGGAATGGGTGTCCGTGGGAGCAGTGGCTCTCCCTGTCCCCTCAGCCTGTCTCACTCCCGTCTCCAGTTACCTCCAAAGCAGCTGGTCTCTTTGAGGTGGCTCTTTGTGCTGAGTTCCCCTGGTGAGCGAGATGGGAAGGGGTAAGGTTTTTTTCCAGGGCCTTCTGAGAGGGCTGTACATTTTTAGAGGTGTTCCCTTACCCAACAAATGGAGGTCCACTCCGGGCCAGGCCCTGTGGCAGATTGACAGCGTGAACCCTGTCCTCAGGGAACTTCCAGTCTAACGGTGATTTGCCCATGAGTCTAAGAGGAAATGGCCTTTGTCCCGAGAGGCCTGTCGACATCATTGGGCAGTCTGGTACCTGCACTGGGCTTAGTCTGGTCGGAGGCTGAAGGCTCTGAGAGGGATCACAGGGCCTCACTGACTTCCTGAGAAGAAGGAGATCTAGTGGGGACAGATCTCCGAGGTCTCTCAGTATCCGGGGAGAATGTGGGGTGTCACTGAGGAGGCAAACTGGGGGTGAAGGAGGAAAGGGAGGTACATAGGCTGGGGGGGGTGTGTCTGTCGGGGGAAAGCCTCACTTTCGCTTGGCTGGGGGAGTGACTGCGAATGAGGGGTGTGAGCCCCGAGGGGAGCTTGTTCTGTGAGGGCGACCACTGCTGATCACAGACCAGGCCTCTGGAGACCATCCGTCTCCCTCCCCCATCCCGCCTCCATCACACAGCTGCTCGGAAGGATCCCGGCAGATGCTGCGGTACCTGGCGTTGTTTCACGGGAGAAAGTCCCCCCTTCCGTCTGGTGAAGTCGTTCCTATTGCGGGTCCTGCCATATTCCCACGTGCACAGCAGGTGCAAGTTTTGGGTGCCAAGCCGCTGGAGTGGCCAGGCCTCTCCCGCTGTGCGTGGTTGGAATGGGGAGCAGTTAAGCCCCGGAGCTGTCATCTCTCCAGTGACAATGTCGGGGTCAGGCAGGCCCACCCCCCTCTCCCAGGGGGCCCCCCCACGGCTCTTCTTTAAAAGAAAGGGATC